GCGGCGGCAGATAGAGCACCCGATTGAGCAAGGCAAAGGGAATCCTCCTCCTGGATGGTGTACAAACGTACACACACACACACATGCTCGTACCGAAACGTGTTGCTCGCTGACAGCACTGCACACATTTGTCATCCTCAACACAAACACGACCTCCACTGACAGTTAATCAGATAGAATCCTCATCATCCTTCAATCCTAGAATCTGTAAACTCTGAAAAACTTGGAAGAGATAGAAACTTGGAGACTTCTCCGATCACACGATTTGACCGCCGCTGAGTCAGGCGCTGCTGCAGCAGAAGCCACCGATGACGATGATGCAAAACACGCGCAGAAGACGACGCACCGGCACCGGCCGCCGCCACCACATTGACCCTCTCGGTCGCACTTCGGTGGCTCTCTTCGCCTATTTTGGCACCGGCAAAGTCGGCCAGTCACTCCAGTCACCGCCGTCGCCGGGCGAGTCACCCAGGCCAGACAGGCGCTCCCGCGTACCCTTCCCAGCGGTGTAGGGGGCAGCAGCGGCGGGCACGGTGGAGGGCAGCTCGTGCCCATGCGGTGGACGGTGACTGGCGCGCTCTGCAGCACTGCTGCACTTCAGGCCATAAAGGCAGTACCACTGGCTGTGGTGTGCCTCATTCGCGTTGAAAGTGTTGGCGTGTGCGCGTCTCTCGTCAAGCTCTCTCTCCCAGCTCCCCAGCTCTCATTTCCCTCTCTCGTGACTTGCAGCTTCTGCAACTCTCTCCGAGCATTTCGCATCCCATCTCTCGACTCATCCACATCCCTCTCAACACTCGCATCTCATCCCGGCAAGTCATCTCAACCGCCCTCCAACCTCCTATCTACCCGTCTCACCCTCCTGCAAGATGTCTGGATACGGTGACTCCCGAAGCTGCTACAAGTGCGGCGAACCCGGCCACTTGAGCTACGATTGCCCCAAGGGCGGCGGCGGTGGCGGACGTGGTCGTGACGGCGGATCCTACGGCTCTGGTGGCGGCGGCGGCTACGGCGGTGGTGGCTATGGCGGCGGTGGCGGAGGCTATGGCGGTCGCTCCCAGCGCTGCTACAACTGCCAGGAGGAGGGCCACATCAGCCGAGACTGTCCCAGCGGCGGAGGCGGCGGTGGTCGTGGCGGAGGCGGCGGCGGTGGATCCACCTGCTACAACTGCGGCGGCGAGGGCCACTTCAGCCGCGAGTGCACCGAGCCCCGCAAGGAGCGCGGTGGTGGTGGCGGCGGCCCCCGTGGCAACTGCTACAACTGCAACCAACCGGGCCACTTTGCCTCCAACTGCCCTGGCGGCGGCGGCAACTGAACACTCGTCGTTCCCACCGATGTGGTCGCAGCGGATGAGGAGAAGGCGGAGGAGGAGAACATCACCCACACACCCATCTGGAGGCCCCTGGAGCCCTTGAGCGCGAGCAACTGAGCCGCTGCCACACCTTTCCCTTATCTCTTCTCTCCCCTCCTACCTTCCTCCCTCCCTCCCTCCAACTCTTTCTATTTTCTATCCGCGTCCTCATTGCGGCGCTTTTCATTCTACTCGAGCGGCTATTCAACTCTGTTTGCCCGGCTCTTTCCTCTCCACACCTCTATTCCGCGCGCTAGGCGCCCTCTAAATTGTACTCTCCCCCTCCCCCTTCTCCCACTATTAAAAACATGTTCAACAAATAGCCGGGGCCGCTTCCACCATCATTTCATCACCATCTCACTAATCTCACCCTCTGCCTCTTTCCTTTCCAGAGCTATTCACCATTCACTCTTAGCTGTCGTCGTCCACTTTGCAGCATTGCCTG